ACGCTAACAGGCCAGCGTTTCAAAACGAGGAAAAGAGGTTTGTGTTTGCTCCTCGCCTGTGTTAACTGCACACGCCTCGACCCTGGAGGTTTGTTTTTTTTTATTTTCCCCAATCCAACACGTGTGCCTCTTTCCCCCTCCACAGATGAAAAGGAGAGATTTGACCCTACTCAGTTTCAAGAAAGTATCGTACAAGGCTTGAATCAAACTGGCTCTGATTTGGAAGCGGTCGCGAAGTTCCTTGATGCCTCTGGCGCCAAGCTTGACTACCGCCGGTATGCAGAGACGCTCTTTGACATCCTGGTGGCCGGCGGAATGCTGGGTGAGTTGCGTTGAGCGAATTATTCACGTCTGCGTGTTTTTTTTTAACAAGCCTGTGAATCTTTAGGTTTCAAAATGATGATGTGACCAAGAAGTAGACACTTTGTTATTAAATAAGGCTGCTCTTTATTCAGTTTCTATGGTTTTTTGTTTTATTTTCTGCAGCCCCGGGCGGGACTCTATCGGACGACATGACCCGCACCGAGTTCTGCCTCTTCACGGCACAAGAAGACCTGGAGACAATGCAAGCATATGCTCAGGTAGAGAGCATGCCCGGCTACTGTTGGTACCAGTTTAGAAGCACTTTATGAAATATCAGTCATTATTGATCCATTTGACAATCCTCTATTTATATGTGAGGAAAAACAGCCAAGAAACCTTCACAAGGCCTTTTTAAATGCACAGTTAACATGTTTCTTTCTACCCCCGCCAAAATAAAGGTTTTTAACAAGCTGATCAGGCGTTACAAGTACCTGGAAAAGGGTTTCGAGGAGGAGATCAAGAAGGTGAGACGACATATAAAACTTGAAGGACCGGAGTTTGTTTGTGGTATCATGACTTTTAAACTGAGCAAGTGTTAAACTTTGATGTCATAGTTGATTTATAATACCGAGAGTGACGCATCTTCTTAAATTTATTGGTGTTATGTGACAAGATGTGGAAGTCGGGTGGCAACTAACAATTGTTTACTGATTGTCTGCTGGGATTAACTCTAGAAAATGGGGAAACAAGTAAGACGGACTTTTTACAGTTCAGTTTACCGTCAGACTCCAGTGGTTCCTGCTTCTCAAATGTTAATATTCTTGATAAGTGTATTTTTTTTTTTTTTCCCATTTACTGACTAATCCTTTTAGATTTAGTAGGAAGTTGAATTAAGAGTTCTCACATTGTTGTAACATGTTTACTAGTAACGCGGGAAAGCAGTGAATTTTTTTTTTAAAGCAGATTGTTTGCCACACACTGTAAACGTCTTGAGTTTTCCTATGATCAAATCAGAAATGTAGCATTAACCAACCTGTATAACTTGTACACAACAAACTTGAATTTGTTTTTCTGTCGTCTTTTAGTTGCTGCTGTTTCTAAAGGGATTCACTGAGTCTGAGCGCAACAAACTGGCCATGCTGACCGGAATCCTGCTGGCCAATGGCAACATATCAGCCTCTATCCTGAACAGCCTCTTCAATGAGAACCTCGTCAAAGAGGGTGAGGAGAAACTCTTTAGAAAAGATTAAAGATGAAGAAAGCGGCCTTCTCTTGTGGTTCTCCCAATTAAATTCTGGGTTTATAAGGACATTTCTACTTTTGTATTCAGCAATAGTAGAAACAAAGACTCAGTTTGTCTTATCGGTTCTGTTCAGGAGTGTCTGCAGCCTTCGCTGTCAAGCTGTTCAAGTCATGGATCAATGAGAAGGACATCAACTCAGTTGCTGGCAGTCTCCGCAAAGTTGGCATGGACAACAGGCTGATGGTAAATGACCTGTTTATAATCTCAGACCGCTGGAAAAATAATGTTTTTGGACTTTTAAATCCTGATGGTCCTGGTCACATTTCTTCATTTCTACACGAATTAACACTAAACTAAATTCCTCTGCCCCACAGGAACTCTTTCCTGCCAACAAACGGAGCTGCGAGCATTTTTCTAAGTACTTCACCGACGCCGGGCTGAAGGAACTGTCCGACTTCGCCCGCAACCAGCAATCTATTGGTGCCCGCAAGGAGCTGCAGAAGGAGCTCCAGGAGCAGATGGCCCGCGGTGACCCTCAGAAGGAGGTGAGGCTGTCGTAGGGTCATGGTTAACCACATGCACTACTGCAGACAGTATGCAGTTAAATTTAAATGTGTTGCATGCAAACACACCTGCAGGAGGTTGAGAAAGTGGCAGGTATCCCACAATACACTTTATCTGTGCAGTAAATGATATTTAGTGAGGCAGGTCAGAGTTCATTATTTAGCTGAGCTGTAATTTCCAATTCGTTCAGATCCATTAGATCTTTGAGTCAGTGCAGGTGAAGGTCTGTCATCATTGTTCCCCTTTTTGTGTTTGGCTAACGTCCTCATTGACACTTCTCTCTTTGCCACGTCGCAATCATTTTTGTGACTGACGCACGAGCAGTTCACGCAGTCACTACTGTACAGTGCAATAACATGAAGCTGAACACAAATGAACAGTTTGTCCGTGTTAAAAGAGGACTGATGGTAACCATTTTATAATTCAAGCATACAGGAGTTGGATTGTCTGACCTTTTTGGAGTTTCTAACAGTTTCTCTGTGTGAGAATGCAATGTTCCCTGGCTGATGAGAAACTAACCCAGCAGCGTTTCTTTCCCCGTCCGTTCAGATTATCACCTTCACCAAAGAGGAGATGAAAAAGGCCAACCTCTCTGAGCAGGCCATGATCAGCATCATCTGGACCAGCGTGATGAGCTGCGTGGAGTGGAACAAGAAGGAAGAGCTGGTGACCGAACAAGCCATCAAACACTTGAAGGTATGCGACACCGCCAAGTTGCATCGCAAAAAGAAATGCACTGCATCAGAGGGTCCGACTGGAGTGAGCGACAGACGGAGCACCGCAGTGTAGCAGGAGCGGCGAGCTGGTAGTCGAAGCTACATGAGTGTTGTTTTAATGCTCATCTTCATCATCTGTGATATCTAAACACTGATGGTGTGGTTTGTGGTCAGATTAAGACTAGGAGGTGGAAATGGATTTGTAGCGAGGATTGTATCACGTCTGAGTGGTTCCATCTGTGCAACGTTTCAGCTAAAAGCAGCTTCACCCTCTTTGGTTCTGGCTTGATGTTCTGCGAGCTGACTGCTTCCTAAAGACCTAATGTGGGTTGAAGTGTTTTTAAAGGAGACCAAGAAGCTATTTGACCAAAGGTTGAGTGATTATGCAAACCAGCAGCAGCACTCTTGAACTCTACAAGTAACTGAAAGCTTTAAGAACAGAACTAATGTGCTCACTTCTCTGAAGTTACGAAGCACAGATATTGGAGTATGAAGCTGTGTTTGTACCTGTAGTTCTGGGCCAGTATTCTGCTATCAGATAGGAAAATGACAGTGTATTACTGTTGTCTGACATACAGTTGTTGCTTCCTCCTACAGCAGATGTTGGGAAAACCCAGACCTGTTAGGGCCTGATCAGTTATATCAAACTTGTTGTATGTTGCGCGGAGCGGGAAACAACCGCCGTTAATTGAAGGGTGGAGAAGTGTTCAATGTGACGCAAAAACAAAGGCGGGAAGGAGGGGAAAAAGATGAAGGTTCTGTGGGTGGTCAGTTAAAAAAAAGGCTTTAATGCACCGATGAGCTTTTTACAACATGCATTATAATTCCTGAGAGCTAGCTGAGTGCATTTCCATCTCCGCCCCAGATGGATACAGCGATCTATCGGACATGGCTTGACGTTGTCTCTTGTCTCTGCAGCAATACAGCCTTCTGCTGAAAGCCTTCACCTCCCAGGGTCTGTCCGAGCTCAGCCTGCTGCTGAAGATCCAGGAGTACTGCTACGACAACATCCACTTCATGAAGGCCTTTCAGAAGATCGTGGTGCTCCTCTACAAAGGTTAGTGTCACGTCCACACGCCACCCTTCAGCTGCATCCATGCCCAACAGTTGAATATAACTATCCACTGACGGTCTGTCTCATTTTGTTTTAGGTTTATGAAAGTCCGTTCACTTTTAACGCTGAGAAGTGAGAGGTCATTTTTCAACATTTCCTTGACCTTAAAGTGTTGTACCTCCCTAATGCTTGGTGTCATTTTTAACAACACACTTGCAAGTCTGGCTTGTTGTTGCCTTTTACACTCCGCTTCTGATTGGTGTACTGAAATCTAGTGTATGGTTTAGTTACGCCATTGATGAGAAGTCAACTTTAGAGAAAATCCACAAACCGTATTTCCCCACCAAGCATCAGTTCACTTTTTTTTTTTTTTAATCCTTTACAAAGGCTTATTTCAGGCACTTTAAGTACATGTTGAATGTAATATTTGTTGACGGTGTCCTTTTTCCTCTTTAACAGCGGATGTATTGAGCGAAGAGGCCATACTGAAGTGGTACACTGAAACCCACCTTGCCAAGGGGAAGAGCGTCTTCCTTGAACAGATGAAAAAATTTGTCGAGTGGCTGAAGAACGCTGAGGAAGGTAAAAGAGAAACACAACACACACTCCTTCAGCCTGAGTTGCCTCATAAAACCTTTCTCAAGGCAGATATTTTGACTTGTCATAGCAGGAATAGTGTTGCAGATATTGATTTCTACCTCCTTTTTGTGTGCTGTAAACCATCAAACATGGGGAAATTAGAGAGAGGACTTTGTTTTAAAAGTCAAAATGTCTACCTTAACAAAGTCTGTGCAGTTTTAAGAGAATTCCTCGAAATAAGATGCAGGGTTTTTCAAACTTAATGTTTCTTAATTGTTTTTAAAATGGTTAAATGTGAAATTTGTGGTGTTGTCTGACCAACAGTCCAAAACCCAAAGAAAGAAGAGAGAGATGGATAAGATTCTGGCGTTATAATTTTATTTATGAAGAAATCAGAATGTAAACAGAACATAAAAATAGTTTAATATTGCTTTCTTTCCAAAAACTGGTTGTAAAAACTGAGTATTAAGTATTCAAAAAGATATTTCTCAAATGTTCTTTTGCACAAGTGAGAAAGAAACAACTGCAACAGCTGTTATGAAAACTGTTTA